AAGCTCTAAGTTCTGTTGAACTGGGAGTGATCTGGGCCAGAAATTTTTTTTTTTTTTTCTCACAGACATTCAGATAGACTCCTCACAAAAGTAAAGGGCTTCTGTGATCTTTAACTCTACATTGCTTTTACCTTCCACTGGCCCACCCAACAAATCTCCCCACGATTGTCCATTCTCCAAAGGCAACTGGCCAATGAGAGAAATAAGAATGGGACCTAGGGCCTTGCATTCTTGAGATATCCTTTAATGAAAAACAGAAGATGGGATCTTTCTTGTAAAGAGCAGGTAAATTTTTGCAATTATTCTATGAGTTGGTACAACAAATAAAAAGTGGACATAGTATTTAATAAAAATGTAATGGGACTGGAAGTCAAATTGGAGAGGTAGGAAGAGAAAATAAGAGGTAAAAAAGAAAAGAGGTAACTTGATTCAGTTGGCAGAAAGGGGGAAGGGAAATAATAGGTTTGGGCTATAACTGGAGAGGGAGGAGATTGAAAATATTGCCAAGTGAAGGTTGGGAATGAAACACTCTCTCTCCCGAACTTCAGCTATAGCCTACTACCCATCTGTCCTCTCTCCCTTTGCCAAATTAGTTCTCATCATGGTCAGCTCCACCTTCTTAAATTCAATGGACATTCCTCAGTCCTCATCTTAGTGAACTTCTGAGCAGCACTTGCAGTATTGCCTACTCCTGCGGCCCTTTCCTGGCTTCAGGGCACAATTCTCTCTGATTTTTGTCCTATTACTCCTTGTCTCTTTCCTTTGTAGGCTCATCTTCTTCTACACAGCCATTAAATGTTGGAGCCCCGAGGCCCTCTGCTCCTCTTATTGTAATTTCCCTCCCTGGTGATCTCATCCACCCCCCTGGTTTCATATCACACATATTCTCAGATGACTCACAATTTTTATCTCCAGTCTTGATCTCACCACTTAACTCCAGACCCATATATCAACTGTCTACTTGCCATCTTTTGAATGCCTCAAAGGTACCTCACACTCAGCTAGGCCAAGACTGAGCTCATGATCTTCTCCTCCAGGCCTGGTCCTCTTCCAGGGTTTCACTCCGTGAAGGGCATCACTGTCTAATTGCTGAAGCAGAAGCCAAGGAACAGTTCTCTCCCATAGTCCTCATATTCATCACCCTCCTGAATCTCTCTCAAATCCATCCACTTCTCTCTATCTCCACTGTCATCACTGTAGTCCAAGACACAATTATCTCTTTTCTGAATGGCTGCAACTTACCTTCTGATTGGTCTACCTGCATCCACACTAGCCTCCCTACATACAGTCTTTACTCTGTGTCTGGAGTGACTTCATTTTTGAAAATATAAATTGAGTCATGTCATCCCCATGGTTAGGATCCTTCAGTACTTTTCCATTCTCCTTAGGACAGAATCAGAAATCCTGAAACTCTGGCCTACCAAGTGCTGTATAGTCTAGGGCAGTGGTTCTCAAAGTGTCATCTCAGAATGCATCAGCATCACCCAGGTGTGTCGTTTAAAATGCGATGTCTTGGACTCCACCCCAAATCTAATAAATTGGAAACTTTGGGGACGGAGTCCAGCAGATTGTTTTAGCAAGTCCTCCAGATGATTCTAATGTGCATACTCACATTTGAAAACCACTGCTCCAGAGCCCACCTACCTTTCTGTTGATATATGGCCTCTTGCTCTCACCATTCTAACCTCCTATAGCTTTCTTTCATTCCCTCATGTAGCATCATGTTTCTTTTACCACAGGGCCTTTGAACAGCTCTTCTCTCTTTCTTGAAAGCTTTCCCCTCTCCTCCTTCCCTGGTTAATGTCTATTCTTCCTTCAGGTCTTAGCTCAAGAAAGCCGACTACAACTAATTCCCCCTAATGCCATAGATCATAATCTCCTTCGTAGTGATTAAAACAGTTGTATTTTTTTCTTATTCGTATGGTTATTGATTGACATCTGTCTCCTCTACTAAACTATAAACTCCCAAAGAATTGGGACAGTGTGTGTTTTTGCTTGTTACTGTCTGCAGTGTTTAGTACTAGAATAGAGCCATGCTCAGATATTCGCTGAATGACTGAATGCACAAATGAATGATCTTTTCCTTACAGACCCACTGGAATTCTCATGGTCAGCTCCCGGTCCCCTCACTCTATAAAATGGGATACCTACCTCATGGGCTTGTTGAGACAATTAAATGAGCTAATACATGGACAAAACCTAGCATAGGGCCAAGGCATACAAGTCCTTGATAAATGTTAGCTTTGACCATCATTATTATTATGACTCCACTGTTATTATCATTATTCCAGTTTCCAAAATCTCCCTCAGTCAAAATGATTGACCATGGCTAAAACCAAACAGCATAATTCTTGACAAAAATGTACATTTTTTAATTATAAGATGAAAATCAATGCCTGTGGAATGTCTCAATTTTTTTTCCAAAAATTATTCTTCTCCAAATATATTGGCTCCAGAAAATTCTTATTAGCCTTGTCATTGGTTTCTAATGTCATTCATTTATTTACTCAGCAAATAATAAGGGAGGACCTGAATGTTCTGTGCTAGGTCCCAAGGATGTGATAGTGACCAGAAGGGGTGTGACCCTCATGGAATTGATAGTCTAGTGGGAAAAAAGATATTAACAATCCAGTGGGGAAATATTTCACCACAATGCCAATAAATGCTACAGAGAAGTACCAGGTCCTACGTGTCTGTGAACCCGGGAGGCCAAGCCAAAGCAGGGAGGGAGTTTTCCATCCCTAAGGCCACCTTTGGCTCTCGCGTAGAAGCTGCCTGGGCACAAACCAGTCCAACCAACTGGTGTACATGGTGGCATGGGATGCAAACCAAATAAGTGAAGTCTATGTTTTTCTCCCATTCTGAATCAAACTGGTCTTTGTACGTGTTAATTCTGTGTTGTTCTTATAAACAGAGTTTCCATGAAAACCAGCTAAAGAGGAAACAAAGGGGAAAAGCCAGCTGGGAAGGCTGCATTGTTAACATGTTTCCCAGGTGCTTTATATGCACACTGGTGGCTGAGAACTCTTCCTTTTTAGGCCCTCTGCCTGATTTTCCTTTGGCTGGCTCTGATTTCTTTACCACCCTGAACACCTGGGGCCAAGGCTCCTTTTCACAGCAGTTTGAAAGCAGTCTTTTCTTTTTCTCTTTACTCAGTTTGGCCTAGGTCTTAATCTTCGAACAGCATCAAATATTCATTGCCATTTGACAAAGCTGGGGTTGGAGGATCCAGCGTTTTCAAAAGCAGGTCCTGCCTTACCATTGGCGATCCAGTGAGCTTTCAGCAAGACTGACTCTAAATCATCCTGGCTCAATTAGTTTATTTCAAAGAAATACCCAGGTGTTGTTTGACCTTCAAACACATGGACTGCTGGAGTCAATGAAAGTCTCATCTGTTCCCATAATGCCAAGGGAACTGGATGGGGTAATTCTTTTTCATATTCTCTGAGTTTTGTGGAGGGATTATTAGGTTTGGGCTAAGTGAGTTATTGAGCAATATGCTCAGCGGTGGGCTGCGGTTGCCTTTGCCGAAGGAATGGCCAGCTGTGACCAGTCACTAAGCACCATGAAAATAGGGAGAGGTGTGGAGAAGAATTGGGCCTTGTAGGTGGGGCATGAGTCCTGAGACATGGGGGAAGTACCCGGGGTACTATTGGAAGCAAAAAGGTAGATGTCCAGCTGAGCTCTGTGTCCAGGGCTTAGCAACTCTCCACAGCAGGAAAGAATTGGTCCTGGGGTCCTTTTTGCCTTTTCCCAGCAGAGGGGCTGACTGCCATCCTCTCAGACTCCTGACTTGATACCCTAAGGTTTTCTGTGGCCCTGTTTAGGAGGCCATTCTACCTAGAATTGTGAGAGCTAAGAACAGCAGCCCAGGTTTTTGCAGCCTAAACAGTTTATAAGAATTGGGGCAATGTTGAAAATAATTGTTCTGTGGTTGAGAGTGTGGTTTTTGGAGTTGGAAAGATCTGGTTTCAAATCATAGCACATCCTGCTTGCTAATTGTGTGGCATCAGGCAAATTACTTAACTTCTCTGAGACCCAGAGCTGATAATTCTTATTTTAGCCTTTCACAAAGTATGGTTTAAAAGGTATTTTAATATACATCCTACCAAAAAGGGATTTAATGGTCAAACACATTTGGAAAACGCTTTAGACTCTTTTCCTCTATCTTGGATTTGATAATGCATATTGTCAGATTAAAGTTCCTGAGAAGTTCTGAAGGAAATAAACCTGTTTAACTTGGTTTAATCCAAAATGTCAACATATATTTGAGTTCATGAACTTTTTTCTATTCTTTTGTAGAAAATGGGAACAGTGTTTCATGAAATTCAAATGACCTCGTAGGATGGTTGTAAGTGTTCATTAAGAATTTAAGATAAATACTTCCCACAATGTCTGGCCCAGAGTAAGTACTCAATAGTAACGAGCATTATCATTGTATGATTGTTATCAATGAGAGATTTTGGTCTCCAAAACATAAAACTGTAAATTTGATATACCTTGTTTTTGACCACAGGCAATTTATCAGTGTTTGCCAGTTGGAAATGTACAGATTTCAGCTGTCAGTGATGGCTAATGGCTGTGATTTACTGAGCGCCTACCATGTGTCAGGGCGTACATCAGGTACTTTAACTGAATCATCATTATATTTAATGGTCACAACTACTCAACAAGGTAGCTATTATTCTTCCACTCATAGATGTTCAAATTGAGGCTCAAAGACGATATGTGGCCTCCTCCAGTTTGTGTAGACATCAACTGTGGAATTGGGAACTTAGCTTGGATTCGTTTGGCATAAAGCCCTTTATTATTCTCAGTTGGGATTCTAGAAATTCTTCGGGGTCTGTGAAAGTACCAGTGATCTGGAGGAAATGTGCAATAAGTCTAACTGAAATCAAATACTTGACCAATATGAGGCATTGTAGGACTAAATACACTGCGACGGTCACGTTCAGCCCTACTCCAAATCTTCCCTTTATGGAGTTCACCTTGATTTCTCACCTTGAAGCCTTGCATGTGTTGTTCCCTTTACCCAAAGCATTCTTCCTATGTCTTCTTCTTTGACTATCTCTCACCATTCTTCAGTCCTTTACTTGTGTGTCTCCTCATCAAACTGTGAGCAAGGATCAAGTCCTGGCCCACACTGTAATCCCAGCATGTAACACATTGTAGTCCACAGATACTTATTGATGAATGAATGATGTCAATTCAAAACCTATGTGAGAAAATTATTTATGCCTTAAAGTAATAAAGAGTGGGAAAATAAGTTTATTATTTAATAAGTATCATCTGTTTGATATACAAGAGTCTCGAAACACAGTGTCATGGGGTTTTGGGCAATAAGAATGTTGAAAATTCCTGCTTAGAACAATGCCTGCTACTAAACTCTAAGGAAGGCTTTGTACTACAGTGGAGATTCTTGAAAGTGGCAGCCTATTTTTGGCTGAGTCTCAGGGGTGTCTGTAAAAGAATGCACAGCTTTGCAGGTTCATAAACTCACTTTTAACAGACCCGTGTCTTGAGGGAATGGTGGCATTTGTGATCCAGCTCAAGGAAACCAATTCACTCGAAGGCCCCTCAATTATCATGGTTATTGTCTGTGGAATGCCTTCTCTTATCAAGCTGTGTCCTAGGCATATTACATGTTACCTCTCATTTTTACGGTACATCTTCAGAGTACTGGTTATTATTCCCATTATAAATGAGGAAGTTCAGGCTCCAGGCTCCAAGAAGTTTCTCAACCTGCCAAAGACACACGGCTAGAAAGTGGTGGAGCAAGGATTTCAATCCAGGTTTGTCTGTCTCTGAGTCCATTTTGCCTCAGTAGGCCACCTTATCATTTCAGATAGGAGCTTTCTTCTTCTCCATGGGGGTTACACTGGCAATGTAATTGGTACTGGACATTGATGAATAAGTTCCCTCTAGAAACTAATCTTTGCAGCAGAAAGAGGCATGATGACCTTAAACTAAAAATCAAGGCAAATGTTGCTTTAAAGCTTCATATATCAATCCTATTCAGGCTCCTGTGTCATCTTCCTTGATGACAAGAATATTTTGATGGTGATAACGAGGAACAGTTCTTAATACGAGAACATCTATTTCCTCAGTTAATTCTGAATCAAATTCTCCTTATCTTCCATTTCTTTCATTGTTTGAGAGTACCTGGTATTAGGCTGATTTGAATTCGACATCAGTTGTGGTTTTGTATGCAGCGAGTCACCCTGGCTTTAAGAGCCTGACTATCGCACAGGTTGATGGATTATTTCTTGCAAAGATTTCCATAGGTGAATTCTTTGACGCATTTAGTTTGATCTTGCCTACTTCATGGCATATCTGGAAGGCAGGAAGGAGATGGGAAATTGATTCCCTTGAGCACATTCTCAAAGAGTGGCATATTTTCAATCACATATTACGGTAATATATTGACAAGATGGTTGTTTCGCTTAAAATGAAAAGATGTTGAGGAAGCAGCACTAAAGCAAAGGGTAAATCTGTCCAACACGTGGTTGAAACATAATGACCAGATGAAGGGAAACCAGAAAAGATAACCAAAGTCTGTCCCCTTCGGCGATGCTTCCTTTTCACCCACAAATGCCACTGGCCTCGTTCTCCATGTTTAAGCCCCTTAACGTTAGAACCTGGCGATGCTGTCCGTCTGGTTGTGACAATTGGAGGAGATGATGGGTGTCAAGTACCCGGCACACGGCAGGGCATACAGCACGAAATCAATAAGGGGTGATATTTACTCTGTCCATTTCAGTTCTATGAGATGATCTATTCTAATTTGGCTTCTACATTCTGCAGGTATAATTGGGTACTGGGGGCTCCTTTTGATTAGCTATTCAGGGGCCAATTCCTGAGAGAGTGGGCCTCCCCAGGCCTCTTTTCTGTTTAAAAGAAGGGACTCATCCTTCTATCACAGGGTTTCTCAAAAGTTTGGCCTAAGGATCAGTATACGTGATTCATTTGGAGCACTTTTTAAAAAATTCCCCCTCCCACCTTACACCTGCAGTATCTACATTTCAGAGGATGAGGTGTGGGCTTCTACGATTTTAACGAGCTCCTCAGAAGGTTCTTTTCAGCAAATTTTTGGCTTTAAAATGGCCATCTGAAGAGGCCAGGATTCAGAGGAGGAAGGAGCTGAGAGGCCTAGGAGATTATATAGTCAGTTAATTTCTATCCTTTGACAGACAAGGAAACTGAGGCACAGAGAAGCACCGAAGTTGTTGACAGAGCCCAGAAAAGACCTGAACATAGGCTTTTCAGATCTCTTCCAGACTCCTGGGACAAAAACCGTTTTGCTACACTGTAGTTGACATTCCCTTTTCCTGCCAGGAAATGGACTTGCTTTATGAGGCTATATTTTATAAGGATAAGGAAGAAAGTATCTCATTTGATTTAAGTGCCCCTGGCAGTGCCATCCCCTTTGAAAGTCTCAAATAGTAACATTTCAATTAACCTACTTAAAATTCATTTGTGATTCCCCATTGTTTTGAGAGTGGGGTTGAAATGGCTTACAAGCCCATATCTGGGATTACCACTCACCTCTCCAACCATTTCTCATCCCTCCCCTCTCCTCTCCCTCCTTTGCACTCTGCTCTCCAGATATTCTCAACTATTTTCAGTTCATCAAATGAGCCATATTGCTCCTTCTGGAGGGTTAGCACATGCTATTCTCTCTAAACTATTTTTCCTAGCAAAGCTTTCTTCATCTTTCAGGTGTCAGATGTCAGGTTATATCCTCTCTTTCCTGGGAAGCTTTCTCTAACCTTACAAGTGTGGGTAACAGAAACTTCCAGGTGCCTACCTGGCACTCTTTACAACTCTTTTCAAATTGATTGATATTGTATTACAATTGTCTTGGTGTTTTCTCCTTAATTACATTTTAAGCCCTAAAGGACAGGAATCACGTTTTGTGTTGTAGCACACTGACAGTTGTGGATTTCACCTATTTCATGATCCCTAGAGGAGGAAGCTAAGGAAACCTATGACATCGTGCCTGATACAAAGGAGGCACTCAATAAACTATATGCTAAACACGTGGCAGGATGATCTTCAAGTTCATGTGCCAAAATGTTCAAGCAGATAATGGTTTCCCTAGAATAGATGATAACATTAGTAAATGGTAGAAGATGAGATGGGTTAGGGCAAGCTAGAATCAATCATGAAAGTCTTTGATTTTGAGTTGAAGATGCTGGCCTGGACCTGGTCAATGATAATAATTCATTGATGGGGATGTATGAGGAAGATTCCTGTGGCAGCAGTGAGGAGCATGGGTGGGAGTGAGAAGAGGCTAGAAACCACATGAGAATTATGATGTGGCCACAAGAGTTCAGACTCAAGGCAGTGAGGATAAGGAGCAGACTCGTGGCTGTAGGAATGATGAGAAATGATGAATCCCAGAAATTCTGCCATGAAAGAATCAACAGTGTGTGGTAGAAAAAGAGAGTCAAAGATCCTTCCTAGGGGGATCTTTCTTCTTTCACTAGGCCATTAATTTATTAATTCAACAAGCATTGATTGGGGTGTGAGGTACTGGGGCTACAACAGTGAATAACAGAGACATGCTCCTTGCTCTCCTGTAAGTGAAGGAGACAGATGACAGATAAGTAAACAAACCAAAGAAGCGGTACCTAATATAACCAGTAGGCAACGAACTTCATGAATGAAATGAAATAATTCAGGTAAAGCACTTGGCACAGTGCTTGGTATACAGTAAAACTCAATAAATATTATCGAGTCCCTATTCCTGACCAACTCCCCAGCGAAAATAAAAAATTTCCATTGTCTCACAACCATTAAATGGATCATGATTATGGCTGCCATCTATTATATACCAAACTCTATGTCCTGGGCTTTGCACCTGTTAACTTCTTACAACCACCTTGCAAGATAGTTATGATTATCCTTCTTCTTCAGATAAGGAATCAGCAGCTCAAGGAAGTTACTCAATTTCCCAAAATTCCCAGAGCTAATGAGCAGAAAATCCTAGGTGTGCCCAACTCCCAAATTCCATTCTCTTTCCATTGTCACAATGTAGTTGTTGCCAATCAGTGTTGTGGCAGTCTGCTTTGAGGTGAAGCTGGCAGACTCTTTAATCTATCTGTTCAAGTAACTGAAATAACCAACAAATGTTAAGGAGCAAACGGAAGCAATTACATATGTCTCAGCTGCCCACATCCAGGTATGGCTAACTATGTGGTAATTCCCTGCCTTCCAACGAACGTCTTTGAATTGGGAGAAAATTCGAACACAGTTATTTTGCGACTCTCTTTCAAGAAAGTGTTGATTTATTTATTTCTGTAGTTTTAGAAATCTTAGGCTACAGCGAAAGTACCTAAAGTATCATTCAACTCAAATCCTGGGGGTTCATGTCTTAGGATAGAGTATAAACTTTGCAGATCCAGTTGAAGTCTTTCCTTTGCCACATACTAGACTATGAAATTGAACAGATCATTTAATTGACTCTAAGCCACATTCTCATTATTTATAAACAATGAAGAAATAGGAGGATATCAACAGCACCTACTTTATAGGGTGTATTTGGGATTGAATTAGCAAAAGTAAGTAAAGTGTGTTCTTAACCGGTGGCAATTTTGCACCCAGAGGAGATATTTAGCAATGTCTGAAGACACTTTTGGTTGTCACAAATGGAGGAGTGCTACTGGCATCTAATGAGTAGTGACTAAACATGCTTTGAAACATCCTACAATGCAGACAGCCCCTCAGCAAAGAATTATCCAGCCCAAAGTATTAATAGTGCCGAGGTTAAGAAACCTTGGTCTATATCCTAGTGTCTGCTGCATAGCAATACAAAATTTTTTTTTAAATCATAAAATCATCCAGGAATATGGAACACTTGGAAAATCCCTTTGGGAGTACTGAGATATATGGCACTCAGATGAAAATACATCTGGGATACTGACTAAATATTTGACTTTCATCTAAGTATTTTGAAGTCATGAAATAGATATTTCCACTCGTCCACTGGGGATGTGGGGTGGTGATGTTCTTTGTCAATTGTTTAGGAGTTTCACAAAGCTGAATTTGCATTTGATCCCAAGCTTTGTTTTTTCATTTCAGGAGTAGTTTACCCCACAACATTACTTTTGAAAAGGGAGGTTTATTTGTTTTTATGTAATTTTTTTTGGAACTTAAAAGCATCTTGACTTATTAAACCAGTTATTTTCCAGGCCTGCAAATGTTTTCAGCATGTTGCCCTAAGTTTCCCTGAGTCAGCACACAGGATTGCATCTCAGAAGACCTCAGTAAGTCAGAACCATTTCCTTAAGATGTTGGTATTTTTCTTTGGGGTTGTGATATTTGGGGTACTTATTTTGACAAAAGAGAGCATGTGTTTCTCCCAGACCCCCACATTCAAGGCCCTGGTGGGAATTCTGCTCAGGGCCAAGGGGTATACACCACAATTTCAGACTAAAGAAGAGAAACTCAAGTGGTCATTTGATATTTTCTCCTGCTGTTGGGCTCTTGCTTACTTCTATCCAGGAGCCAAACCATAAGGTAGATCCTCCAACCCACATTTTATGAGAGACAATAAGAGAGTACTTTTAGTTACAACTAAAAAATTCTTTTCCTGCTTCGAAGCCAAATGCTTTTACAAGAGGCAGAAAAAGACAAAAAAAAAAAAAAAACACCAAAAAACAAAAAACCCCACCTGAGTCAAATTGATGAAAACCAGTCAAAATATCACCTTGTGACTGATACAGCTATCCTGGCTGGTCCCAAAACACAAAAGGTGTCTTCAGGCATGGCTCTGAACACTGATTGAACTAGATTTCTGTGTCAACTGCTTGAAAGCTGCATCTCGCACCACACATTTCCTGAGCATCTTATTGAAAATTATTAGACCTGTTTTGTTCATTACCAGGAAGCTGAAAAATGGCCTGCAAGAGAGGCGGAAAGGCTTTCTACGGCCTTACAGGCTGACTTTTGAACAAATGTCCTCAAAGTTCATGAATGCATCATGGAGGGGCTCAGGCCTTGGGGAAGGTATCCTTCCTAATAACTCCATGGAAATCGCTGCTGAAATCCAGTGGCCCCAGAGGAGGGACAGCCTCCTACCTAAGTCTGTTCACGTAATAAGCACTCAGAGCATATGGTTTGCTCTTAACGAGAAAATGTGTTAATTCTTGATTTTTATTTTAAACAATATTTACTGACACAGAGAAAGAATTTTTTTTCTCTTCATGTCAAGAAATCTGAATTCCCTGTAATGGAATCATGAGATTATAGCCTGCGAGGACTGAAAAGGACCTGGCTCATCATTGGACTCAGTTTTCTGGAGAGGGTCCTAAGGTAACGGAGCTAACGATGGCTGAATGGGGAGTAACAGAGCCTCAGCTAGAGGTCTTTGCAGTACAACACATGCATCCGCTGAGTCTTACTGTTGTTAAGTCTTCTCTTTGTTGTTTGCCTCTAACACTAGACTGCCCAGCTCTTATTTCTCCTGATATTCCTAACAGTTCATTTATAATCTCTACCCCCCTTCCCCCACATCTGACTTTGAAGGACCTGAATTCACTGAGGCTTTGATTAGTGGTAATTATTTACCTGTCAGACCCCAGCTGGACCGCATCACCAAAGCTGAGTCACACAGCTTTGCTTCCAGTGACTGCTTCCAAACAATTAAATCAGAGAAGCACCTGTGTAAATATGCAATCTTTGGCGATAAGAAAATGATTAGGCAACAGAAACTGAGCTGAAACGGTAAAAAATAGTGAATATTTTCCCCCGGGGGATTTTCACACATGCCTTTAAGCATCTCTGATCTCAAGAACCAGGTCGGGTTATTTTCCCACCCTTCCTACCCCTTGTTTGTTCAGAAAATACTATAGCTAATCTGAGATCATCAGATTTGATCAGTTTGCAAACATTAAAATTTTAAGGTAATCATCTCATGTATAAACTGAAAGAGAAGAAATTGAAATGAAGGTGAAAGACTAACCAGTAATTTTCTTTTCCAAAGCCAAAATGTCTATCTCAATAGATAAGCTGGCAACTGAAACTCATCTTGGACAGTGATATCTATTCTTATTTGTGTTTAGAGCTACTGTTTTGGGATTCAAAGTAGAGGACAGTGGAAAGAGTGAGAGTGTTTTTCACCAGATAGACCAGGAGATGAGTCCCCAACATTACCACCTAGTAGCTGCGTGACTTTTAACACATTTTGAGCCTCAGCTTCCTAATTTATAGAAAGGACATAATTCCTAACCTAACCTGCCATGCCACATGTAAAGTGCCAATCTGCTTAGCAAACATTCACCACGCCCCACTCCATACTAACAGAGCAGAAAATCCATCATCTTTGACCATTTACTAAGCTGCAGTTAAACTGTTGCTGATTTTTTTAAAGTCGCTTTCTAACGGAGATCACTTTTCAGCCATAAGAGGTACCACTAGAAAGTGATTCTAAAATTTCCTTCTTATATTTCAAAAGGTACCCTGCTCTGCTTTTGGAATTTGGTCCTTCTTTACCACAAATTCACAGAGACTAACTATAAGAGAGATCTTTTCAGTTCTCCAGTTGGACATAGAAAGATATTGACCCTACCAGTCATCAATTAATTAGGTTTTTGCTGTTTCAACCTGGCTGGTATTTTCAGCTGAAGGACATCCACAGGTGGTGCTTCATGGACGGGCTCCTTTTGTGCTCCTTGTACATTTAGGAACGTTAGTTTGTGCAAAGCTGAAACCCCTGTTTCATCTCTTCCTAAGCTCTTGATCTCGGGCAAGTTAATTATTCTTTGTGCTTCAGTTTCTTCAATTGTAAAATGGAGATGATGATAACTAATGCATAAGATTGTTCAGAGAATCCAGGGCATTACATGCAAAGGACTTAGAACGGTGACTTGAACAGAGGAAAAAGTAGTTGTCCTTGTGCTTGCTATTATCACTGGGACAAATGTAGGAAGCTAACAATAGAGTAGTCCCACAGAAAAAGTTAATGTGCTTAACAAAGCGTTCAAACCCTCAGTCAAAGCTTCCTAAGTCAAAAAGGCCACTGTTAAAAATGTTATGCTCTTTCATAAAAGTCATTCTTAATTTCATTTTGTTTGAATGCAATGTCTTATTCGTGGTTTCTGAATAAGACAATGAAAAGCAAGCCAGCCTTCTATGGAATGTTACTCTCTTATTCAGAGGTAGATCCAATTGTCTTTGGACCTTGAGTCTAAAATGAAATAGTCACTAGTTTTTAAAATGCGCAGGATACTATTAACTCTCTGACATCAAGGTGATATATTTGCTAAGGGTAAGAAAGGGGATAAATATCACAAAGTTGTAAAAAGTCAAGGTTTACTTACGATCACTTTTTAAATAAACATCTTGAAACAGGGATATGGAATGTTTGCGGATATAAACACATCTTCTGCTGCATGAAGCCCTGAAGTTACTCAAAATTACCTGATCGTTTTGTGAGTTTGATGGCATCTTCTAATTTTGGTGAGCTTTTTGCTTGTTTGTAGAGATGTTTTACTACTGTAAAAAGTGAGCATCTTAAACACCCCTAAATTTCCTGAAGCCAAAAGATTCACTTAAGTGGTGACAGCAGAGAGGATATAGATTTGTAAGAGACTGTGAAAGGTTTTTTTTTTGCTTTTTCTCCCCAAATCCCCCCGATACATAGTTGTATATTTTAGTCGTGGGTCCTTGTGGTTGTGGCATGTGGGACGCCACCTCAACATGGCCTGATGAGTGGTGCCATGTCCACGTCCAGGATCCAAACCGGTGAAACCCTGGGCCACCAAAGCGGAGCACGCAAACTTAACCACTCGGCCACAGGGCTGGACCCTGAAAGGAGTTTTAAGTGCAAAATTTAAAGATAAGAAGGACCATTTTACTTGGAGTACCTCCTTTCCCTTCCTAATCCTTTAGGCAAACTGATCAGTGGTAATGAAAAGATGTGGAGAGATGATTTGCTTTGGAATAGAAAAAGCACTTTGCATTATTAAGCTTCCTACACATCTTAAAAATAAATTTACTCTGAAATTCCCATTAGATCCCATAGAATTCACTGAGCAATCTGGCCTTCTTGTTTTGTTTAACAGTTATACATTCCCGAGGGTCTTAACAGCTCATTGTGCTGGAGTTGAGCTCTCTGTGCTTCTTCTCTGAGGCCTTATCACTTATCTAGTCTGCTGATTAACTCTGTACATCAATGGACCATGGTCCAGTTGAGTAGCCTGTATGATAAACAACTCAACAATAACACCATAAAATCTAAGCAGAGAAATAGACGGTACGCTGATAAATAGGTGTGCATGCACTGAATTTTAAAAATATATTTTCCCCTTTTGCACTTTCAAAGCCACAGTTTAAATACCCAAAAGTCCTTTCTATGAATCCATCAATGTATAATTCTCTAAATTTGCTATTTTAAGAAACATTAGTCCAGTTTTTCTACAAAATTGAAGGAATCATTACTCTAATAGCACATTTTTGGTCACTTATTTATAATTAACCTTAAATTTTTTTCTTCTGGTTAAATATTCTGCTAGCACTTCTTACACCTGACTTCCTGGTCAATTCCCACTTAAATTTCTGCAGCTGCAAACTCTCAGGCAGCTATTGATTCTATGTCTCCTTGCTAAAGGTTACTAACTTCATCAACAGTAATGGTATAAATCACATCTGTTAAGATTCTCTTATTGTTGCTAGCTGACAACGTACTTTTGTTTTCTGGCTGTTTAATGTCGTTGACATTCATTTTATCCATCACTCTACAAAGACAATTGGACTGAATTATTCCTGGATACTATTACCCAGTTGACACACTTTCAGCTTCTGAATCATGGGCTGAAACCAAAAGTCTGATGTTTTTGGCACCAAAATTCACAGTCTGTGTTATCTCTGGTCCAAAGAGGCTTTCAGATCATGAAAAGCATGTTGAATCTTACTCCAAGCTTCTTCCTGCCTCCCTTCACCAATGCATGGCATGCAGGAGCATAGACTTAGGATAACATCCTTAGTTTGTTGTGCTTAGAAGAAGGAAAAAATAAAAGCAGAGTCGTTAAAGATCTGCATAAGGAACAATTAGCTTAAGCATTGTGGCATTAATATGAGCTAGAAGTTTGTAGATCTGTGGGGCTCAGTTGGTATACCATAAACCTTTCAGGGGTATGCCACCTAACTGGGAACAGTCTATGAAGTTTTCTTTTTGTATAACTGAAGGTATTTGTAGATATGACAATAGCTATCACTTACAGTATTGGTCTATGCTGGTCATGCACAGTGATGGGGGCAGGGGCTGAAACTTACCAGGAGTAAGAAAGGAGAGACATAACATAAATCTGATAAAAAAGAAATATCAAAAACATATATGATACAAAAGATGTATAGGCAGAAACCTATAATAACTTTGCCCTATAAGTGTATAAATATACATATATTATCAAATTTATTGAAGCATAATTTACATACAGCGGAATGAATGTACTCATTTTAAATGTACTGTTCAATGAATTTTGATGTATGCATATCCTCAGGTAACCATCACCCAAGTCAAGAAAGAAAATTTCCAACACACTAAAATACTCTTTTCTGCCCCTGCCGAGACAACCTCTCGAACCAACCCCAGCTGTCATTACATTTCTATCAATATAATCTAAATTTACCTGTTTTAGATCTTCATACAAATGGAATCATGTGATATGTATTCCTCCGTGTTTGGCCACTTTTACTCAGCAAAATGTTTTTGAGATTCATTCATATTCTATGTATCAATGAACATTTATATACACATATATAAGCAGTCTGTGTAGACATTTGTTTTTATTATTTTTAGGTTCATACCTAGGAGATGAAGTGATGGGTTATACGGTAACTTTAACTTTATAGGAAACTACCAAACTATGTTCTAAGCTATTTAGACCATTTTATACTCCCACCACCAATTGTAACATTCTCAGATCTATTTCCTTGCCAAATCTTGGTAATGTCAGGTTTTTTTCACCTTATCCATTTTAGTAGGTAAAGAGTGGTGTATTATTGTGGTTTGAAATTGCATTTCTATGGTGACTATGGTGTGAAATATCTTTTAGCGTTTATTGACCAATCATATTTTTTCTCTTGTTAGGTATATGTTCAAATATTTTGCTCATTTTAAAAATAAGGTCATCTTTTTATTATTGAGTTATGAGCTCTTTTGTATTCTGGATACAATTTTATGTTAAAGATGTGTATTATGAATATTTTCTTTCAATCTTTGACTTGACTTTTTTTTTTAATGGTCTTGTCAGTAGCAAAAGCTTTTACTTTTGATAATGCCCAATTTACCAATTTGTTTTTTTAATAGTTAGTACTTTTTGTGTCCTAAGACATCTTTGCTTACTCAAGGTCATAAAGTTTTATAGTTTTAGATTTTACATTCAGTTCTATGATCTGTTTTTAGTTTATTTTGGTATGTGGTAGAAGTAGAGTTTAAAGTTGATATTTTTTAGTACAGACATCTGATTGTTACAGTACTGATTTTTTAAAGACTATCTTTTCCCCAATCTGTTCTGTTCAAGTTCACTAACCATTTCTTCTGCATCATCAAACTGCTATTACAAACATTAAGTAAAATTTTCACTTTAGATATTATATTTTCCTGTTTTAAAAGTTTCATTAGTTCTTTACTTTTGAGAGTTTTCATTTCTCTTATTATATTCATTTTTAAAATAAATACTGAAACTATTTACAATAGCTATTTTAAAGTCCTTATCTGGTAATTCCATCCTCTCTGTCACTTATTGGTCACTTATTGATTTCTGTTCCCTAATTTTTCTCCTGATTATGGAGAAAAGGTTTTTCCTATTTCTTTGGGTGTCTAGTAATTTTTGATTGGATGCTGGGCATTGTTGACATTACTTTGTTGAATGTCTGGATTTTACTATGTTCCTTTAAAGAGGGTTGTTTTTTGATCTGGCAAGCATTTAAATTTTGTGTAGATTAGTTTATCTTTTTGTGTGTGTGTGTGTGTGAGGAAGATTGGCCCTGAGCTAACATCTGTGCCAATATTCCTCTAGTTTTTGTATGTTGGTTGCCACCACAGCATGGCTTGATGAGCAGTCTGTAGATCTGCACCCAGGATCCAAACCTGTGAACTCTGGGCTGCCAAAGTAGAGTGCACGAACTTAATCACTATACCACTAGGCTGGCCCCTAGTTTAATCTTTTTGAGCCTTGTTCTTAAGATTTGTTAGGAAAGGTACAGAGTAGTCTTTATTCCAGGAATAATTTTGCATCACTACTGAGGCATGGACATTCTCTGGTCTCTACTGAATGCTGCATGGGTTCAATAATGTTTCTCCACTCTGGCTGGCTGGAACTTGAATCTATGTCAGCCTAATGGGAGATATCATTCAGTTTATAGTTTTTCAGTTATTGTTCTTTCCTCAGTAATTATTATTTGCCCTGTGGAGTTTTGCCTTATACAGCTTAATAATTAGCCCAAAACTCAAAGGCACCCTTATGCATATTTTTTGAAATTTTTTCTACAGTCCCCTTCCTTTCTAGTACTCTGCCCTGCAAATTCCAGTTACTTCAGCTTCCTCAATCTTTGACCTTTGTCTCCTCATTTCAGCAAGCTCCCATGTTCTACCTGGATTTTCCTTCCCTGAGTGGCAATGTGGAAAGGATCTGCAGGCAAAAAATTGGGGGCTATTATGTCCTCACCTTATTTGTTTCATTTCTTTCAGGATCATAATTGGGGCTGCCTGTTGTCCACTGTCTGAAAACAGTGGTTTCATGTATTTTTTCCAGTTTTCAAATTGTTTATGGTGGGTAGTCTCTTCAATAGCAGTTAGACCATCATAGCCAGAAGAAGAAGAAGCATATTTTTTAAAAGTACAATTAAGGCAGTTATTTTACCACAAACAGAGATAAAGTGCTAAAGGGCTCCCAGCTAAATGTTATGGTTACTTTAGATGTGATTTATTCCCTTTGAGAGCACTAATCAAACTTAGGTTTTAAGATTTATGCCATAATTATTGATGGAAATGTCTATTTCCCAAACAGCAGTTGCTTGAGTCCCACCTTGGTGATTTCTGCTCTGGATTACTCACATTATAATTTACTTAAAATATTTTCTTTACGTTATCTTGCTTGTAACTTAAATTTATTTGAAAAGTAAACTCTACAACATTATCATAAATGGAGTTGAGAAACTAATCATATTTTTCTAATACATATTAACATAAGCAAATAACTTTAAAAATAAACAAAAAGTGAAGTGAAGATGGACTGAAGCCATCTTGTATCCCACCAGGGGTATTGTCTACAGGTAGCCACACTGGAATAGATCACACAGGCATTGAATGAAGAAGTGACAAACGAGGTGGGGATGAAAAATGTCAGGACCATTTTTCATTTGTAGTTTCTGATAGAGCCATAAAATTTTAAAACTAGAATCATCTTAGAGAACGTCTAATCCAACCCCCTTCATTTCACAGATGTGCAGGTTCCTTCTGAAGCCCTCATAGTTGGTTAATTAATTCAACACTTATGAAAGGCCAGGCATGTTCTAGGACTGGGAATACAATAGCAAACAAAACAGACAAGCCCTCTTGGAGCTTACATTCTAGTGAGGAATAGAACCCCTTTCTTCGGCTCTGTGCCCAACTGTCTATTATTTAATGATCTATAGTCACAACAAAAGACACCACCTGAGCATTTTAATACCTGTGTCCAACTTGT